TATAATATTATATATATATATATATATAATTTTATGATTTATGATTATTATAAGACTAATCCTTTTTAGACATACATATATTTACAACTTGCTAATGATTTATTTTATTTAAAACTATTTTTATAGTTATCATGCATGCGCGTTTGATTATTAAAAGATGGTAACAGTAGAAAAAAAATTGTAATTTAGCGCACGGCAATATTTATGATTTTATAGCATTATAAGTATTCATACTTATTTATAAAGCATTCGTATAATAAAAAAGCCATGATTTTAATAATGCATTAATTCAAATATGGTCCATTATTCTACTAATGTAGATTAACTTTAATCTCCGTTTAATTTATTCTTTACCTTAATCTTCTAATTCTTTATACCTAGAAAAAGACAAAAATTAAGTTAAATCGAGATTAAAGTTAATCTACATTAGTCGAAATGGACATATTTATGTTAACAATCAAATTTATATGCCAATTTTAGTCGATAATACCGATACTGTTCAATTACCTGTGGCCTCCTCGGCCTTTTTGATGATCAAATTTCCCCAGAATTAATGGTTTTTAATAATAGTATCTCGAATCGTCGGTGCAACGAAAACAGAAAGACTTAAGTAGTTAACAAATTAAGTGGTCAATTACAATCCGAAAAAATTGTTCTAAGTGAAAGGCTGTCATTTTAAAATTAAATTCAAAACTCTCGATTATGATCGATTAATTTGTACTACTGAAGTCATGAAGATCAAATGGTGGACACGAGTGACTAGTGAGGGCTCCGCATAGCGGGGAACTCGATTCGAGGAAACGTAATTTCCGTTTGCCTTATTTCCCATAGCATCCGGTAAGGCACAGCGTCACGTGGCGTTACGCAGCGTTGGACCGGTGTGATGTTTCTCCTGTTTCTCTCGTGGGAAAAATTGCGGGAAAAACACAAGATGGTAAGGAACTTTTTTTTCTTTGTATTTATCGATACATCACTCAACTTCGTGATTTCTTCTTCCGCCAATTCCATTTTTCCGTTCTCGATTATTTACTCGTAAAGATTCGCAATTTGCCGATCGCATACCCGGCCACGTGCTTCAAATTTCATTTTATTAATTTAATATACGAATCGTGAATTTTTCTGTATATTTCGCCTTTGTTTATGTAAGTGATGAAAATTATTGGTCCGTGTTACTGATTCTTCAGTGATTAATTTTATAACCATCTCTGACGAACTTTTCGTACAGTGTAACTTGTAGAGATTAGACGATTGTGTGCTTATTAAAATGTATTTTCTGTTTCTCAGATGATTAAATCTGCGCAAGCATTTCTTAAGGAAGTTGGTACCTGAATCGGGAATGGAATTAAAACTTACTGTTCTTTAGAATGGCCCGTGTGATTTCAAGTCCTAAAGGAGGATAACCACAAAAATCTGAGAATTCTTAGGTAATTGCGAACTAAATATAATCTGCGATAATCTGAATTATATAATCTTGTATATCTTTTACATAATTTCTATATACTTTGATATTTTTTAATTGTGTGATGATATATCAATGGTCCGTGTTTCTGAGCAACAGTGATTATGATAACCATTACTGATTTGTTAAAAAATTTTTATCTTGATCATCAGCTGTGAAACATATAGTTTACTGAAAATGAAATGATATGATTGTAGGAAGGACAGATAGCGACTAGAACGAAGAAACTGAATCCATTGGCTGATTACTCGATGCATGTGCATCTACATACATATATGTTGTAATCTTGATTGAAGCATCGAGAAACACCAGCATGAAAAGAAGGAAGTTGGTACGACCTGAATCGGGAAGGGGAATAAGACTTACTGTTCTTTATGGACAGTGTGATCTTGGTCTCATTGTCAAAGTCCAAAGAAGGATAACCACAAAAATTACGAATTCTTAGGTAATTTAATGCAAACTATAATCTGCAATAATCATATATGTAATTTTGTACAACTTTTACATAATTCCTATATGCTTTGATATTTTTTAATTGTGATGATATCAATGGTCCGTGTTTCTGAGCAACAGTGATTATGAGAACCATTACTGATTTGTTAAAAAAATTTTTGTCTTATGACCATCTGTGAAACATAGTTTACTGAAAATGAAATAATATGATTATAGGCAGGACGGATAGCAAGTAGAACGAAGAAACTGAATCCATTGATTAATTGCTAATCTACATACATATGTTGTAATCTGGATTGAAGCATCAAGAAACGCCAGCACGAAAAGAATCTTTTTTTTCTGAAATAATACGTAAGTAATACTGCGATTCCATTAATCTTAATCTTATTATTTCGTTCAATTTAGGTACTAAATTCTGAATCCAATATACATATAAGGATTTCCTTATTAAATATTAATTTACTTAAAAAGTTTGCTACGCATATATATTTCTAATAAAAGTTGATATTTTTCAACCTTTTGAAACCTTAATATTTCTTAATATATTAATTTACTGAAAAAGTTTGTTGCGCATATATTTTTAATAAAAGTTGATATTTTTTCAACCCTTTGAAATCTTAATATTTCTTAATCGTGATGATATTAATGGTCCGTGTTTCTGAACGACAGTGATTATCACAACCATTACTGAGTTGTAAATTTTAATTTTATAGCATTCTCTAATTGTATTATTTTTTATAACGAAGAATTGTATTACAGGATGGCTCAGAGAGAATGATCAGCAAAATGGCAGATCCTTTGGAAAAATTGGTTGTCCCACGAGAAAAGAATTTCGTTAAACAAAATATTCTTTTCGCAAAGCGTTCCTATCCGGCCGAGCCGAACAGCGATCCGTTGATACTCGTTACGGTGACACGTATGATTTAAAGAAAAGCAGATTAGTTCCGTTTCCGATTTATGTGCACAAGAAAAATTATGGAAAAGTACCGAGATTTATTGCGATTGGTGCGAAAGACGATGCGAAGATAGAAACGAAGTTGGTCGAATGGCTTAATGGAATTAAGATATCAAGAATATCGACATGCCGATACATCGACAAAGAGAAGCGGAGGATGCTGCTAGATGGTATGAAGCAAAAGTGGGAAGAGGCGATGAAGCGATTTCGAGGATTGCCGTTCCTCGCGGACACGCTGCCAAAGGCGCAGAAGGCGAGGATGGAGCGCGAGTTGCAGCAGTTTGAGAAAGACATAGCGATTATCGAGCAACATCCGCATATATACGTTTATGAAGATACAACGTCCAAATCCCAATACTAACAAATTATAACACCAACTATATCGGAACTCTATATGCTTATAGTGATATTTTGGCATTCAAGCTCGGTGCATGAGCTACCGACATGGAAGCTGAAGCCGTGCAAATTTAGACCGATGTCTTTCGTGAGCTGCATCAAACGCACGCATTTCCTCGTCCGGAGCCGAATTTTAATCCCAACGATACCGGCGAGTCCTTCGGGTCGCAGCGTATGCGTATGACGATCCTGGATGTATGTCGCGCGGAGGCATTTGCTACACCTGTTTCCACATCATGGATGTTTTTCAAGACTTATCCTGCAACATGCAGATATATCGTCTAGGACATCGCTTGCAGTAAAAAGGAATTTAGATCGATATCGTTCGGAAAATCTCCGTAATTGCTTTTCATGAAAGTTGCCCTCATATTGAGCAAGAAACTCGACTGCGTATAGTGTAACTGGGGAATTTGCTAAACGTTCAGAAGCTGAGACGACACTGCAGCAAATATTATTACATGTATTAAAGAATATCTGCATAAAAAGCATATGTTTTGTGAACAGAGCATTTGATCTCGTTTAGACATAAAATCTTCGAAGAGGCATGAAATGATTACAAAGGTAAACTTTCAATAAAAATACAAGCATGGCTAACGAAGATGAGAAAGTCGAGGTATGCCGTTTGTGTGCAAAAGAGTCTCGAAACTGTTTTTCAATATTTCAAGACGAAGATAATAATTCTCGAAAAAATAAATATATGTTTACCAATCGATATTTCTCCGGATGATAAATTGCCTTCCAATGTATGGTTGCCATGCAGATGTTGCTCATATCGATTATAAACTGCGTTGTACTGCAGTTGAGGTAGATGAGCGTCTGCGAATGCAATTACAAAGGCAGAGCGTTGATGTCTATACAAGTAAAGAAACAAATAATTTTTCAGAGAACTTTCTAAATAATAAACGAAAGATTATAGACAAGGAGAACGTTCTGCATTATCAAAATGATACACAAGAGATCAGAGATAAAATGAATAGTCATAATGATTGGAACACAAATCGAGAGAATATTGATGAAATTAGTTACGAAAACGAAGCTGTTATTTCAACTGAAGATAACGAAAACGGCGGTGTCAGTTAACTTAATGACTGAAATTCATATTGTTGAAAATGGATCTGAAGATGCGATGGAAGCCTCGATAGAACAAACTGATAACAGCTCCGACTTCGTTAACAATGAAACTGCAAACGACTATCAAAGATTTTCTGAACACCAGACACTCGAACAAAATGAACAGTCGTTTTATTGTCATACTTGCAAAATTAAATTTGAAAAGGAGCGGTATTTTAAAACCCATATGAATATACATGAGGAAATTACTGTTAAACAGTTGTATACAACGTGCTGCTCTGCAAAATGTTCGTCTATGTATCATCTGTTTCTTCATAAACGTAAAAAACACGATATGTTTAAGAATATAAAACGATTAAAATACGCGTGTACGAAGTGTAACAGATTCTTTGCACATAATTCGACTTGGGAGAATCATAGTAAGAATAAGTGCCCCAATATGACCGATAAGTGTTGCAAATATTGCAAAGCAAAGTTCACGACCAAATTGATACTCCACTTGAAGAAGAAACATCAAAATATTTTCTTAGAGCACAAGTGCAATCGCTGCTATGCGATTTTCAAAGAAAAATTGGATCTAGTAGAACATATACGAGAGATCCACGATTTAGAGTCGCCCAATGAACTCAATACAAAAGAAAAATATGTCTGCAAATTATGTGGCAAGAAGTTCAACTCTTCTAGGTTGTGGAAAAATCATGAAAGAATACACACGGTTGCTCTAAGATAACATCGCCAAATCTAACAGTCGTAGTGCACAAATATCTGCGATGATCCACGTGTAGCTGTGCTCAAATGCGAAGACATTTTTGTCGCTTTCTAAATGTAAAACGAAGAAATTGGAACTGTTAATCAATATATTCGAGCCACACATCTCGGCCCGTGTAACAAAAAGTATCATCAATTTATTATCCACTTTTTATAATTCTTATATACTTCGATTAATTATGTACAAGCTTATATGTGTGTCCTGCATTTGCTTTGAAGAAATATTAAAAATACAATTACAAGTATAATTAAATTAAATAAATTAATAACTATAATTATTATAACTGTAAAAGTATGGTCTTATTATTTTGGTCCCAACATAAAATATGTGAAATTGTTTGAGAATTTCATTTAAAATGTGAATGTAATATAATGATTTCTTTATGCGTTTATTTTTATTTGCGTTTTGTATAATATATTTCGTATACCTTAAAATAATTTTTTTATTTAAAAATAATCTTGAATTTTTATATTTTATGTATAAGCTTATATGTGTGCCAAGCATTTGCTTTGAAGAAATATTAATAAAATATAATTACGTGTATTATTAAATTAAATTAATAACTAATAACTATTATTATTAAAGCTGTAAAAGTATGTCTTATTATTTTGGTCCCAACATAAAATATGTGAAATTGTTTGAGAATTTCATTTAAAATATGAATGTAATATAATGATTTCTTTATGAATTTATCTTTATTTGCGTTTTGTTTAATATATTTCGTATACCTTAAAATAATTTTATTAAAAATAATCTTGAATTGTTATACTTTATGTATAATTAGTTTATACATGTACCAAGCATTTGCTTTAAAGAAATATTAATAAAATATAATTACATGTATTATTAAATTAAATTAATAACTAATAACTATTATTATTAAAGCCGTAAAAGTATGGTTTTATTATTTTGGTTCCAATAACATTAAATATGTGAAATTATTTGAAAATTTCATACAAAATATGAATGTAATACATGATTTCCTTTATGCATTTTTTATTTGCTTTTTGAATAACATATTTCGTATATTTAGAATAATTTTTTTATTTGAAAATAATCTTGAACAAAAAAGATATTTCACATTATGAAACGTATATAAAAAGAGAAGGTACACGGCGACCGTATCTTGGCCTCTCTTTCTACTCCACTCTCTCTCTCCATCTCTCTTTTGACTGAGGGAAGGATAGCGGGCACGCAGAACGTCCATTACGTCCAATCAGATCACGTAGTTATCTACCCCCTTTAGCGCGCTTGGTCGGGTCGATTCTTGTTGCGCTGTGTGCTCGACGGATCGCGCGGAGCTCCGGAGGCGTGTTGCCTGTCGCCCGTGTTTCCGAGCCTCGTCGGCGAACAGTTGAGGGAAAAGATGGTACCTCTCGGCCCGTCGCCGGGACACCAAACGTCCGCGAATAACTCCTCCAGCGCGGCCGCCAGCGGGACGAAGAGCGCGATAGTGGTAATGTGCACGCTACACACGCATATGCGGAGTTTAGCGGGGAGTACAGGTTAAACGCTCTCTCGTCAACACACGCCGGCTCGGTCGATCGCGATACACAAACGCAATAGGCAGGGATAAACGTGGATCGTTCCCTCCCGGGAAAGAACACTCGTCGCGAATACCTGGGGAGATTTCAAGATGGCTGGATTCCTTTATATTCACGTTAGGAGTGAAATGTGTATCGAACGAGAAACCCCTGTTTTCACGCACGCCGAGCCATGTGTGTTTCGTACGCGTTATACAGAGGCTCCTCTTATAAAAAAACAAAAAACCCGAGATGTGTGAAGTAAAACTATACTCCTTGTACAGTCGTGGACAGATCAGCTGCGACACGTTTTTTTTTTATAGGTTTCTAATATACGTTTAATATACGTACACAGTGCGACAAATAATTTCCCGGAATGGTGCTTATAAAAATGAAACGAATTGAGTTTTTTCAGCTTTCTCTTTTTCTTTATTCAAAATATTCTCCTTGCAACGATTCAACAATGATTTAAATGACTGCTCCAGTTCATTTTGTGGCTTTGCCTCCAAAGCACGCGTCGAAGTCTGTTGAATTGTTTCCACATCTTCAAAATCCTTTCAACTTTATTTTCATTTTGGGGAAAAGTCACATGGCGCTCAATCAGGCGAATACGGTGAATGATTCGCAAACCTGATTTTTAGTCAAAAGTTGACTGAGCTATTTTGAAGATGTGGAAACAATTCAACAGCTTTAGATGCGTGCTTTGGAGGCAATACTACAAAATAAACTGGAGCTGTCATTTGAATCATTGTTGAATTGTTGCAACAAAGTGTATTGAATCAAGAGAATATTTTGAATAAAGAAAAAGAAAAAACTCAATTTGTTTCATTTTTATAGCATCATTCCGGGAAATTATTTGTCGCAATGTGTATATATTTTTATATAGGTAACTGATATTTTGCAAATGCGAACCATGATGTTACTGTCTTTAGTCTACGAGATAGTATAATCCACCAATCGTGGTTCGCATTTGTAAAATATTAGTTTGTTTTGAAACCTATAAAAGTATTGCAACTGATATGTCCACGACTGTACATCTAATTTGGGTAAATTATTTAATTTTATCAGATTTTTTATCTTCACGCCATTTATCCGTATAATCCTAATCGAATAGCTCGATCGAATAGCTTCGCGTTTTCCACGTTTTTGTTTGCATATATTCGAGCAGTAGATCCAGCAAACAAATTTTGACTGTACTTTCCAAGCAGCGTTACTTAGGTAGTGAAATGAATGCAAGAGATTTTACCTGCATTTTTGTTCTTTTTATTTTACAGTTTGACTGTATTTTCTGAACAGCCATTACTTTGTGGCACATGAATGCAAGAGATATATCCGCAACTCTATGCTCCTTTTTCCTTTACAGAGATCGAATTACACGTTAAAGTATACCTTGGCGGGTCACACCAAGGCAGTATCGTCCGTCAAATTCAGCCCCAATGGAGAATGGTTGGCCAGTTCGGGTAATTATTGAATTCTTAGAGATCTTGTGAGAGATTTGAGATATATTGATGACAAATTAATGAGATTTTTGATATACGTTTCTGATTTTTCAGCTGCTGATAAGCTTATTAAAATATGGGGCTCCTACGATGGAAAGTTCGAGAAGACTATAGCAGGCCATAAGCTCGGTATATCTGACGTAGCATGGTCTAGTGATAGCAGATTGCTGGTATCAGCTTCTGACGATAAGACCTTGAAGATATGGGAATTAAGTTCCGTGAGTAATCCATTGTCCATTGGATATTCTTTGTGATTGGCAAAATGTTAGTAAATTTTCACGCTGACGTTCGATGCTTGTTTTTAGTGTCAAAACAGATCACACAATCAAAATTGATGTTTGATATTTATCAAGTGTTAAAAATGAGCGTCGAGCATCAGGATGAAATGGTATCTTAACTTTGGAGTCTCGACAGTTTGGAGTAACTCCAAACTTGTTTATATCAAAAATAGATTATCGAAAGCTGTTTAATTGTCGACATTAAATATCTATGTAATACCCCAATTTTGGAATTAAAAGTTTGATAACTTAACTTTGGAGTCTCGCCAATTTGGAGTACTCCAGTTATGTCAAAAATAGATGATCGAATATTCTTTAATTGTCGACATTAAATATCTTTGTAATACCCCAAGTTTGGAATTAAAAGTTTTCAATTATATTTTTATAGGCAAATTTTTTTTTAATATTACATATATCTCGATGTTTTAATTATTGTATTAATTATTGGAACAGAACAATTCTGTGTTTGAACTCTTTATTTATGGCATTCAAAAGCGTTAGCAACAGCATGCATACGCTGTGCGCGTGCAGAGAGAACTGTCTCGAAAGGCTTGTGAAAGAGATCTCTTCAGTGTAAAACCTTAAGAAAATTAACATTTATTTAAATAAAGATTCTGTTTTTAAGTCAAGTTGCATGTGTGAATCGTTTTCTAAAATACATGATTATTAAGAATATGACCGAGAACTGACGATGCGTTCAGATCTTACAACATTAATTATATCTCGGATATTTTATTTTTCAGGGTAAATGTTTAAAAACTTTAAAGGGTCACAGTAATTATGTTTTCTGTTGTAACTTCAACCCGCAATCCAACCTCATAGTGTCTGGTTCTGTAAGTAACATAAATTATTACGTTTATTTCTTCTTACTTAATCCTAGGTATACACACTCCTTTTTTGCCTACGTAAAGCACACACTGAGGTCCTGGGGACCCTTTTCATATTTGTTATCATAACTTCAGCAACAATGGACACATTTAAATTAATTTTTTTTTTCAATCGATCGAGAATCAATCAAGAAGTCGATTCGTAATTTATAAAAGTCAGTAGAATTTAGGAGCTTTGAGTTATATGGATTAAAAAAGTCCAGAAACGCGAAAAAAATCTCAATTTCGCAAGTTGCGTTGAGGTCCCGGGAACTCCTGTGTGTATACCTAAGATTAAAAATGATTCTTTTAAATCAAATGTTCTAGAACTTTACTAAAATATCAATTCCTGTAAGAATAAAATTTGTACAGTTTTTCCATAAGTCTAAAAGATCTTCGCTTTTTTTTTTTTTAGTTCGACGAAAGTGTACGCATTTGGGATGTGAGAAGTGGGAAATGCCTTAAAACCTTGCCGGCACATTCGGATCCTGTGAGCGCAGTGCACTTCAATCGGGATGGCTCTTTAATCGTCTCGAGTAGTTACGACGGATTATGGCAAGTATTGCAACAAATCAAATTTGCCAGGCGAGGCAGTCTATGAGAAGAACGATTCTTTCCCCTGTAGATTTATTTACTGCATTCAAATGTAACATTGTGCGTTTTTCAGCAAGGTCACAGTGTAACGCAGCGAATTATTTCATCCTTGTTGTTTGCCAATGTTAAACAAGGATGAAATGATTCACCGTGTCACATTTTGTCCTTGCTGAAAAACGCATATTGACGTTATATACCACGTGCGATTTGCAGTCGAATTTGGGACACCGCGTCAGGGCAGTGCCTGAAGACTTTGATAGACGACGACAATCCTCCAGTGTCGTTCGTCAAATTTTCGCCGAACGGCAAGTACATTTTGGCGGCAACGCTGGACAACACGTTGAAGCTGTGGGATTACAGTAAAGGGAAATGCCTGAAAACGTATAGCGGCCACAAAAACGAGAAATATTGCATCTTCGCGAACTTCTCCGTAACGGGTGGAAAGGTGTGTATATACATAGCGAGATGAGTCTTAACTACGTCACGACTGAGAATATATAGAGCAACAAGCTCTAAGAATTATTTTAACGTTATTTTTTTTACCCACAGTGGATCGTATCCGGGTCTGAGGATCACATGGTGTACATTTGGAATCTACAGACGAAAGAGATCGTACAAAAACTGCAGGGACACACAGGTAAGCAACATGTTCATTTAAGAAAAACATGATTGTCCATTAAACGGAAATGGATTGAAAGTTTAAATCATAGATTAAAATGATTTGAATTGGCCTTCGTGGAAATGAATGCATTTCTATAAAGGAATCCATTTCAATCCATGGTTTAGAAAATTTTAATCGATTTCAATTAAAAAAAAATATTTTAATCCATTTCCGTTTACTGGATGGACATTGTAAGAATGAATTAAACGAATCTATACACGAATCTAAATACACGTAGATATTTAGTATTTTGAAAATTACACTTTCCATCAGTGCGATTTGGATTAAAAAATCTAATATATATCTAAACGTCTTCTTTGAGATTGTATTTTTTTCACAATTCGGATTTTTAACCGAATTCTTTCATCCTTGTTTTAACATTGGCACATCGACTACTCACTAACCGTATGCACATACCGTTTTCAGACGTGGTACTTTGTACAACGTGTCACCCGACGGACAACATTATAGCTTCGGCCGCCCTCGAGAACGACAAAACCATTAAACTGTGGAAGAGCGATACATAAGGACAGTCTGTAAATTTATCGCTGTTACTATCTCTACTGTACAAATCGCTGTTTTTTTTTTGTTAAAGAAAAAATGATTACATTGTAAAGCATAGACCCTAGACTTCTAGATATAAAGTAAAGTGCTATTTTATATCAAAATAATATTTTATTATTGAAAGTGTTATATAAGCTTCTAGTTTAGGGTAAATTAATTTCGATACACTACTAGCGTCTGCATTTACTGTTACGAATAGATTAGAAATAATTAACTTTGACTGAGCAGTATTAATAATTCAAATCTCATCGTGATTGTACAAAATTATGTTTTAAAAAGTAGTAAACAAACGCTATTATCGCTCACGTATTATCGTACATGACATTGTTCGGATTTAATTCCTTCTATTCTGCGGAAGTCGCGAACTTTCGGAAGATCATGTATACATTAAGTATACATTCATGAATTAAACTGGATGACACAATCAAAGGAATAGGGAATAGAGAATACGAATTTTAATCTACTGTGGAACACGTGGTTTCTGATAGGTTGAAATTCTTATCTTCTTCCTTGTTCTTTTGATTATACGTCCAGCTTTATCCTATTTTTTTATTACATTATTATTTAAAACACAAAATGAAATAAAACTTCAATAAATACGGTTTGTGAAATATTTACAGAATAGCAAGATGGTACCTTAGATACTGCAGAGTTATAACGCGTTACCATTTTTGTTTTTTCAGTTTTTTTTTTTCCAGTAACGATCGTTATGCTGGATACACACAGGACGCGACAATGCTTGCCGCGCGGCGAAAATTGGCGTTGTGGCCAATCAATTTACTGATTTTCTTTTATAGAAAAGCGAAAAATGATTGGCTACAACGCCAACTGCATCCAGCATTACTTTTTTTTTTCTATTTGTAACGTTTACGTTGTCATATTTTTACAGTAACGGGAATTACTTGTTACAAAAAATAATGGTAACGGAAACGCGTTACTTTTTTAAGGTAACATTTCTAACTCTGCTTGACGTATTTTACTTTTCTCATGTTTCAAGAGAAAATTTTCTATGCCAGATTAGTAATCGCGATTTCCTAAGGGTTAAATTTCAATAATTTGCGAAGCAATGGAATTTCTACAATTCAAAATTCAATTTCTCTCCTCTCTAAATATTATAATTTTTCTTTTTTAAGTGATATACTTAATTAGTATATATATACACATAGTTGTTAACGATTTATTTTACATTTCAACATTTATAAAATCCAATAAACTTTGTCTTAAAAAATATAAAAAAATATTTTTTAGTATTGTATGAACAAGTTTGCAAAATTAGAAATATATATATAGACTTTTATTGTATAAGAAACATATAAAAATGTCTGATATTTTAACACTATCGTAACAGTTTTCAATGTAATTCTAACTTTTCAAACATATCCTACAGTCGTGGAAAAATAATAATTTGCAAAGTCTAATACATGACATCTATAAACAACACAATGCAGAAAATATTTTATTCAATATAAACAGTATCCATATATGTATATATATGTACATACATGGATATATATATATCGTAAATAATTATATAGTTATATATAATTTTATGTTCATTACATTAATTATAATGAAGATAAAATTATATAATTTTCATTATAGTATAATTATATATGATTTTAATTTATCCAATTAATGTTAAAATAATTTCTTCTTTTGACGTAAACGCACAAAATAAAGTTCGAATTTTCTGGATGTATAATTTCCATACTTTTTAAAAAAATTATTGACATCTCACACACAAAATATTCATATATGCCACAGCATCACAGCCAAGGTTGCCAATTTTCGTACATGCGGCCCAAAATATTCAAGTCTTTCGCTTGATCCAACAAACAGTCCACCTGAAACATGATCGAGCATTAATGCTGAGACGTAAAGAGAAAATTTCACAGTAAAAAATTCTCAATTAGTTACAACAAAATTACCTGCTGCGCAGGTGTCAAACGATCGTTCTTCACACTCGCCCGTGCTTGTTTGAGTTCGTCGTTGCCGGTGACAATGGCGTTATACTTCATAAAATCGCTATGCGCTTCTTTTAATTGCTCCATTGTAATGAGTGACGGATGGATTCCATTCAACTTCTTTTCAACTACTTTGATATTCTTATTGGACGACCATGTTGAATCTGCGAATCATAAGTAATAATCATATATTTCTTATACGTAGGTGACTTGATAACGTATCATAAAAATTATAAGATTTCTCTTGCATACACCATACTTAATTCGTTTCATTTTTCACTCATTATACACAGAACAACTATTTAGTGTCAACAACTTCGATTGTTATTCTGTGTATATAAACTATTGCAATGAATCCTATAAGTATATATTTGTGTGTGTATATTTCTTTTTAAATGTATATATTTTTCTAAATAGTTTCTAATTTTTATAATATATTTCTAACAATAAGCGTATTTTATTAAACTCGCCATCGGAAGTCGAATCCCATCAAACTACTAAACCAACTATCGTCAAATTCATAGAGCATCCTCGCATCGCACACTCTTTTATACCTGCTTCAACATCCTCACAGTCATCCATCTCGTCGCCGTTGATGCGCAACGATCGCTGGACGGGCACGAAGATGTCCATGCAAGCGAGTATCGGGCCCCGGTCATCGCGCAGGGCCCGCATCGTGTGGGTCATGATCGTCGCCAGGAGATCCCGCTCCGTGAAGGGTCGCAGCAGCTCGAGGATCTGCGGCGTCAGGCGGAACGGCACGAGTTCCGGTATCGACGCGCGTATGCCGCTGCCGAAAGCGTGGCCGAAATCGATGCCCAGGGAACGTCCGGTCGCGACGCGCACGAGGGTGTTCTGCAGGTGACGATCGCCGATCCCCGCGAGCCAGTGCGCCGTGCACATGGTCGCGTAACTGACGACGAAGTTGCGCCGCAGCGTGATGAAGCACTCCGGGGACGAGCTGATCGTGTCGAACGCATCATGCAGAGCCGTCTGCTTTGTCTGGCCGATCAGGCTCTTCATGGTTTCCGTGACCGTCGACTGGCTGTACCTGGATAGGGCCTCCTTGTAGCAATCGGACTTGATCCGCTTCGTGGGCGCCGCTTTCTCTATCCACTTCTTGTATTCATTGTGAATGCTGTCGCAGCGCTGTTTCTCATTCGGCAATTTTAGAGTGAACTGTACCAGCTCGTCCAGAGATCTCGTGTCCTCGATCCATTGTATGAGACCGAAGGAACTCGACAGTGGAATCACCTGCGAAAAGGAAAGCTCGCATGTTACAATAGCGAATGGTATGTGGATGGTATTTTTAAATCAAAGGATCACGCGTGTATTACCTCGTACGTGTCGATGGCCAAGCGCCTCTGTCGGCAGCCGGGGTCATTGCGCAACGTTCTGTTCATAGTGGAATACAGCTGCTGCAGGCCCCGGTCGATCGTAAGATCCTCGCCGAATTTCACCAGGAACTTGTACTCCCTGCCGTTGTCGCCCACCATGCCGATGCGAATCGGTTTGCGTAGCGATCGCATGACCTGCACCTGCGGCTCGAACCGCGCGATCCTCACGTGGTAGCGCGGCATAGGTTCCCCGTCGCCGGTGTATTGTCCGGGTATCTCGATACCTTTGCCGTCGCCGACGTACTCGTGCAAGAACGGACTGTAGTCCTTCAGCCTGCTCGCGCTGCCTCTCACGTTCCGATTCATGCCGGGCCTCTGGAGACAAATTAATTTGTTCAACGACTCCTTGAGTCTTTGTATTTTTTCTCGCGCGGCATTAAGATCGTCAGGATTCAAGGCTCTTATTTCGTTCTCGTAAGTTGCGATCTCCCTGTGAAAAATAGCGCCCGGTCGCGGGTTCTTCCCTTCTGTCGCGCCTGTGCTGGAATTCAGAGAGACTTTCCGCAACAGCGACTCGATGGCCGTCGCTTTCCCTCGGGATAGATCCCTCAGCGCCACGTCGAGATAGTGCTTCAAGTACAGTTTCGGTTGCACCACGTATTCTATCGCCCGCAAGAATCGCTCATACTCTTCCGCTTTGTCGCGCAGGAGCGAGCGTATCCGCATGACATTCTCATCCCGAAGAATACTGGGGTTTCTGTCGACGGTCAGGTGATAATTGTAGGCGATCGCGTCGGGATAAGTCTCGGCGAGTCTCTCGACAATCGGCACGATCGCGGTTGCGACCGACGGTGTTCCCAGATGGGAGAAGAGTAAGTCCCGCCAGCGCAGGAACAGCCACGGCCGTAGCTTGGCGCATTCTCGGACGAACGTCTCTCGTGTCTCGTCGTCGCGCAACCGCTCGGGCCTCAGCAGGCACGGGAAGTAGTGCGTAGCCTCGAGATAATCGTGACGCATCGACTTCAGAGTGGACAGCAGGAACTCCTTGAAAATCTCGTCGCTCTCCGCGTCGGTGGTGCTCGTCAGTCTGCCGTAGCAGTGTCGGGCCAGGGCGCAATAGTGCTCGCCGACCCTGGCGGCGGTCGTGTCCGCGCAGCAGGATCGCAGATTGTTCAAGCTGTAGCGCAGCAAATGTTCCCGGATGTCTCCATCCGGGTCGGTGCTCGCCGGGTTCGCCACTCCTACGTCCCGCATGATCGTGGTGTTGCGCGCCAACGCTCTCGCGAACGCGTCGTTCTCCCCGCTCAGGGACACCATCCTCGAGGCCAATGTGCCGATATGCTCTCTGATCGCGGTGCTCATATCGGCGTCCAGCTCGTCGCTCTTGTTCAACAGTTCATGCGAGCTCTTCCAAGAAACGGTATAATTGTGCATCCTCTTGGACACGTCCGTCTCGACGTCGGCGCACAGAGACTTGATTCTAGCCTCAAGCCACTTCAGATGAACGTCCTCCTCGCAAACAATTTCATTTACGTAACTCGACTGTTTCGCCGCGATGTATCGGTGTTTTTGATTCAACGCGGCGTTGACGATGTCCAGTCGCAGCTGATAATTGATTTGACGCAGCCGCTGCCTGATCTCCACTCTTCTGCAATTCCTCTGGAACAACGTCGAGAAATACGCTCGATAGGCGGCCAATTTGTTCCACTGGACGAGACTGTCTCGAATCGTGGGCGTTTTCATCGACCAGAAATTCAACAGCTTGACCGTGCGGTCCGAGTACTCCGTTCTGTTCGTGGAACGAAGAACCTTGAGCGAGGCGTCGAGATCGTTCATAATTTGCAACTTAAACAATTTGCGTATTCCCAGCTCGGTGCTGAGGGGAGTCAATCCGATCCATTGCTTTGCCGTCATGTCCAGAAGTTCGTTTAACAGATCGGTCGCCCTTCTCACGTCCTGCTCGAGCAGAAATATCACCAGGCTTTCGCCCATCACGGGCATGAGGTGCTGCAATTTGTCTGGATTGTATATCCACGATCGGATGGCGTTGAGGTCGCTGCTCGGCGCCCAGCTTCTCTCCTCCGCTTCTCTCATATGTACGTAGGTGTCGCAAACATACGGGATCATCCAGTCCCTCCACGCGTCGTCCCAGATACTACTCAGATCCCCGTTTCTCGCACGGTCCTTCACCAGCCGGTCGATCGCCGACCAGTCACACATATTATTCGCAGCTTCGAGTAAGCCTTGCAGGCAGTGCTCCCTTATCGACGAATCCTCTATTAGTTCGTAAGCATTCGTAAACGCGTCCTTCGCTCGACTCCAATCGCCGTCCACCTCCGCGAGGGCCGCTTCCTAAACAAAGAAAATGATGAATAACGTAATCACCTTTAAACTCTGAATTAACATGATTTTTACTGCCCATAAATTCTATTCCATCCAACAAGTTCATATTACGGTAGAAATTATAGATCTAATTTTTTTTCTAAAGACAGAAATGCTTTTTCGTACATGGGAAAAACGTATCAAAGTCACTAATGACTTTTCTGAGGAGAAGAAACTATCTCAATTTTGCCATGTCCAAATTAATTCGATAAAAACTATTTGCATCCATCTACTTAATACCATCAAAATTACCTGCAGGTTTTGGTCGAAAGATTGCTGTCCTCGGAAGATACTCAAAACGACGTCGACGTCATTCAGCGACTTATAGAGGGACACCAATTGCACCCACTTACTAGTCTCCTCGTTGCGAATGGCATCGTCGTGCCGTCGCATTCTCTTGCTCGACGTGGGCGACGAGTCGTCCTGCCGCTCCTCAGACAGTAAACTGCGTTCCAGGAAAAGAGCGCCGAGAGCGTTCGAGTGATTCGCCTTAGACGCCTTCATCACGTCTCGCGGATCGCAGTCGGTGACTGTAGCGGCGTCTCGACTCAACTTCAACAACGTCTCTAAAATAATAACGTTGAAAGAGCTGTCCTTCTCGCACGACTCGTGCAGGATTCGCTTCAGATTATTCACAATCTTCCGGAAATCACAATCTTTTCTATCGGGCTTCTTTTCGATTGTATTGATCAGTGAAAGGAACAGGGACACGGTTACGTCTTTGCAGATCAGCCGGTCCAATTTGATCAACTGTTGAAGCGGCACGATCAAACTCTCGTGAGATGTCTCGATGTCGGGAAAATCTCCGCTCCTGTAGTTTCTGGATAAAAATGAAGAAAAACGTTAGCATATTGGAATTATTCGGAATTAATCTAAAAAAAAAAAAATATATATATATACATCAAGTCAAGCTGGTCTTACCTATACAATTTCACGCTGCTTCTCTGCCTGATGTTCTCCTGCTTTATTTTTTCTACCCGTTGCATGTTCTTTCGTATTTGCTTTTTGCGGATGACGTCCGACGCGTTCGCCAGAATCCTGGTGAATCTCCTGTGCTCGGTCTGCGGCGATTGTCTCGACGAGGACGCGATTGTCGTTCGATCAAATCCAGCGTCGTGCGACGAAATATCAAGCGACGTGGTCGCGTCGTCGTCATCGTCGTCGAAAATAGTCGGCTCGAACTGCAGATCCTGCGTCGCGCGTAATCTCGGAGGGACACCGTGCGAGAGACGCGGGTCCACGTAGGTCCCGCGTAAATCGTTGTCCACGCTCTGAGAGAAGATGCTGTAGCTCATCTGGGAGGCGAGCGAGTCGACGAACATCGGCGTCACGCAGCTCAGGTTTCGTCTGCGCCAGGAGACGGCTATTTTGTACTCCTCGAAGACGCAGTCCTGCAGAGGCGTGTTGAATATCTTCCTGGTGTAATCTATCTCTTTGGTGGCCAGCTGCAGCATCAGCAACGCCACGAAAGGCGCGAACGCGTCCCCCTGCTCCGTTATGCATTTCCGTGAATGCATTTCCAGAAGGTTGACCAACCTGTCAGTCGGTTTCGTGCTCAGACTCTTCTCCTCCGTCCAGAACTTCAGTATTCTGTCCTGCAGATCGTGGGATGGGTCTAGCAGACCGGCCAGTAGGTTTCGCAAGCTGATAGCATGCAGATTTTGCACGGTCTCGTCGCCGTCCGTGATGTCCGACGAATATCTCTTGTAGACCCTCGTGAGTATGTCGTAGACCAGTTCCCGGTGCTCCGTGATGTTATCCTTGACGTATGGTATCACCAGATTCACGTAGAGCAGCAGATTCTCCGACGAGATGTCGCGGATCGGCACCATGTCACGGACGATTTGTAACATTATTTTCTCGCTCTCGTCGGACGACGACACTCGATTCTTCAGGGTCTCCTGCAGCTGCATATGGCGCAGATTATTCACGACGTCCTCCGCGCTGAGCCTTGGCATCGCCAACAAGAATATCTCCAGACAATAAGATTTCACCGCGGTAAAGGCGTCGAGCGCAATTTTGATGTAATCCACGGCCACTTCGGGATAAGTTCGGCAGAGAGTAGCGATGCGTTTTATCTGCTTGAGTATCTGGTGCTTGGATTTGAGTACGTCGAAGATCCTCTCCTTTATCTCGCGTTTCTTGCTATCTCTTTCGGTTTCGTCGCCGCGCGTACCACCGTTGTCCAAAGAACGCAGATACAAGCCGAGACACTTGCAGCACTGCAGACACGTGACCTCGTCCGTCTTGGACGTGTCCCAATTCTTCAACAGTTTAAGCAGAAAGTCGACGACGTCTTCGGCGACGATCCCCTCCGTTATGTCGTTGTCGAGAAGCGCGAGAATGAGATACACTGCGACCGGCGACGCGGATTGCATTTTCTGACTTAGAAAATTGCTCGGCACTCGCAAGCAGCCGCGCCACTTCGCCATCATGGTCCCCATCAGGTTGAGATTGTAATTGTAGACGCGATTATCGTCGGTTCTCCTGAATGCTCTGTCAATAAATTTCTCAAAGAGTCTCTGTGCAGCCGCTTTATCATCCTCGCTGCTCGGCACAGCCACGTCGTGCCAATCCATCAGTATCTCCAGAACGTCCGTGATAATGTAGTTCAAGTCGTTTCGCTCCAGATAATTAGCGATAGTCTTGATGATTTTCGTCAGCGCGAATCGGGCGTAGGGCTTGAACACCTCGTCCGCCGTGTTTGAGATGATCTTCAGCATAAACAGCTGAATATTTGCGTGAAGATCATTGCGCTGAATGGTGTTGAGAAACAGCATGAGCCATGCGGGCTCTTTGTCGTCGCTCAATTTGAATTTCTTTCTGATGTGCCGCAACAGGACGCAGATGTACGGCATGCACTCGTGCTGGTCAAAATCGTTGCTTGTTAAGGCGATGCTCGTCGCACCGTGAAGCGGATCGGAATCGGCGGAATTCGTTGTCGAGGCGGAATAACGAGAGCCAGCTGGCAACACGACGCACTTGTTGAGATCGTAGGCGTTAATGTCCTCGCTTAATGTGCAGGCCGACAGGTCGTAGCTATGAACATAGGCATATCTGTGCGTTGTCCGTTCTCCATCCCCCTCTGCAGATCTGATGTTGACGGTGATCTCGCGGGACTTCGGATACTCCTTGAAGGTCTGACCAAGCCTGTATTGCGTGTCACAGTTTACAATAATCTGCCAGTTAAAAGGTCCATTCTTATTGCTGACCGCCAATCTGTAGAAATTCTCCTTCTCCTTCAGGCTTATGATCGCCAGTAAGCAATTGTATGCAGAGCATTGCAGCAGATGTGCGAGCTCCTGGCAGTCCGGCCGCGTTACCTTCAGGGACCGTATATTCTCGCTGCTATTGTACAGACTTTGGTAAAGTTTCCTGTCGATGAGAAGTTTGCCCGACGCTTTCGTTTCATCATTCGCATGTATCTTGTTCTTGTCTACCCTGGCAAACATGACGGCTACCAATCGGTAGTATCCAATCAACGACACGATTTTCTGCTTGATCGCATCGTCGTCATCGACGATCTGTAAATTACGCGTGGTCTCGTACAGATCTTGGATGTTCTTCTCGAAGAAGCGTTCGGTCGCGGTTGCGTCGCAGAACTTGAATGCTGGCAAGAGAAATCCGTGTAGAAAGTCGAGCCGTTCCGTCTCGGTAGTGTTCACCTCCATGAACGCACGGTAGGTCTGCTGCAACGATTCCAGAACGTGCTCGAGGGACGCCCCGTGATAGTATCCGCGTAAATGCTCCTCCAGTTTCTCGTTAAACAGACGTTTGCCCGCACCGGCGGCGAAGTTTATCACGCACTTGAGCATCGCCATCGATCTGGTCGTTGACAGCAGCACCAGCAGCGTCTCGAAGGAGTCGATCACCTTCATGGCGTTCACGCTCGTCTCGGACAGATTCGGGCACAGGGATCGGGCGTCGGCTCTCAGGGTACGCAAGCTTATCTGCAGATCGTCGCGATCCGCCACGTCCGTCAGGCAGACGAAGAAGTTTTTCAGGATACGCGTCTTGTACTCGAGATCATTGCTGTTCGCCAACTGATCCCGAATCCACTGGTAGAATTCACGATTCTGCGTGACCTCCGTGGGCCTCGACTTCAGATGCACCGCGATGCTGTAGATATTCATCAGTCTCTCCTTGCGACTGTCCACATTGAAGACGGCGTTGTTCAGGCAGGTGAACTGCTGCAGAATCGCGTCGGCCGTCGCGTCCACGCGAGCCTGCAGTTGGCGCCTGTGCCGTTTCAGGAACAGCAACAGATCCTCGATCCACTTCAGCAGGAACGAGGGACTGTCGCGCGACAAACCGTCGAAGACGTCCGTGATCGCGCCCACGTGCGTCAACATGTATCCGAAGATCACACTCCTGAACGTATTGATGAAGTGTTCGCCGTGCGTGATTGTTGTGACGTCCACGCTGGTTACGGGCGTGCCTTTGGACATGAATCTCACCAGCGTGTCGATCATCGACCGAACGTCGTCGGGTATTATCACCGGCGTTTCGATCGTTAACGAGAGCAGCGAGAACTGGAATTCCATCAGAGCTCGCAGGTACTCGATCATTCCCGCGCTCAAATCCCTGCAGGCCAATTCCCCGATGCACTCGCTCACCAGAAACTCAAAGATCTGCGCGACCGTGCGGTCACCATTCGTGAAAGCACTCGTCTTCAGCACCGTTCGGTCGAGCATATCGCATCGCTTTAACAGGATCAGACCGTTAACGTGTTGGATCAGATCGTCGCAAGCGTCATTTTGCGCGATGTCGTGCAGATTGAGAAGCTTCGCGATGTGTTCCTGGACGGAACTTAGAAGGCACTTCTTAAAGGTGTTCGGTGGAGCATAGCCGTACCTCGATTTCATAGAGTTTAACAGAGTTTCCAAAATATATGGCAGTCTATCCATTATCTCGATATTCTTCACATCGAAACCAATTATTCGCGGATGCATTATACATCTAATCGTCAAAGTGGACAACGACTCGTTCCATAATGATTCCGGAACGTTGACCTGGAAAAACGAATAATTGCTAAGCTTTATTGCGAAGTTATTTCTTCACAATACGTCAAATTAATTACATTAGTTTTTCAAATGAATCTCCATCGTTATAACGTAATTCTAATTAACAATTGATTACTTATTCAATAATCATTTTAATCATTAAAAGCCATCAATAATTATTTTAATTATTTTATTAGCTATTAATTCGATTATTCAATAAATCTCAAAGTTATTTCTTCACAATACTTCAAGTTAATTACATTAGTTTATCAAATAAATCTCCATCGTTATAACGTAATTCTAATGATTACTTCAATTGATTACTTATTCAATAATCATTTTAATTATTAAAAATCATCAATAATCATTTTATTATCTATTAATTCGATTATTCAATAAACCTCGATTATTCGATTGGCAAATGTAAATTAAAATTAGTAGATAGATTTGAAACAACTCACGCCGACGTTCAGTAACACTTGTATGAAATTCAACGTAGTCATCAGAACTTTGCACTGCAGCGCCCGCAGCTGTTCGAGCTCTCTAGACTTCATTGCTGTCGCAGCTGTTCCCGCCGGGAGCTCCGCGATTATCCGCCAGAATTGACTGGTAAAGCTGCGAATGTGGGAGAAAATTGGTTGCTCGTCCACATCGTTGGCGGGAAAGAGCATCTCCACCGGCAACAGTTCCTTGTCCATCAACCAGATGTAGCAATCCAGAGCCTTCAACAGTGGCGTCACATTACTGATCGCGGAAATATCCTCCACGCCCGTTTCTAAACCCTTCAAGACGATATCGTTCAGTCGATTTATCCCGTAAGTATTGACAAAGTTCCGCGTCGTTTCCCGCGCGGAACTGCCGTCGTACTGCGACACGTTGACGTACAGCTCCATGCGTCTCGCACGGCAGCGCTCGTCGTGAGTCCCGCACTGCGACAGCAGCCAGTACAGAGCGTGGACCAGGGTCGCGTTGTCGAACTCGTGCGGCTTTTTTCGACGGCCGCGGGAATCGGCCGTGTTCAGAAGCTTCGCCCTGAATTTCATCACTTTCTCGACATGGGCCAGCGCATTCGCGATCGACGGATCGTCGCATCCATCCAAGCTGCGGACGAAGCAGTAGAATATCTCCAGCCAGTAGGTCGACACCGTGCTGTCTTCCTCGCGCAGGATCGCGTAGAGATGATTGAAGGCTACGGCCGCGGCTACGCGTTTGCGCGTCGACGGATGCAACGCGAGATTGTTGATCCTACCGACGATCGTATGCACATGTCGCTCGTTCGATTCCTGCCTGATAAGCAGACTGATTAATCAATTGCTCCGAAATTGAACATGCCTTAAAAAAAAATAATATTAGTAATTATAGCAACACTAGTAATAATACTAGTTTTTATAAGTTGCCTTAAAAAAAATAATACTAGTAATTATAACAACATTAGTATTAATACTAGTTCTTATAAGTTGCCTTAAAAAAAATAATTATTATTATAAATAATTATTATTATAAATAAAAATAATAATTAATCAAATGCTCCGAAATTGAACATGCCTTAAAAAAAAAAATATTAGTAATTATAGCAACACTAGTAATAATACTAGTTTTTATAAGCTGCCTTAAAAAAAATAATACTAGTAATTATAACAACACTAGTATTAATACTAGTTTTTATAAGTTGCCTTAAAAAAAATAATACCAGTAATTATAACAACACTAGTGATAATAGATTTACTAGATTTTATAAGTATAATAATACTAGTTTATAGATGTATCCTAAAAAAATTGTTTCGCGTCGAGATACCTCATCGACCAGCGTGTGAATTCTGCCAGGCAAATGCCGGAGAACTCGCGCAAAGCGGGATTCGAGTCGTCGGCCAAACCGTCGAACAGCACGTCGATCACCGGCGACATTGACATGTGCCTGGAGCTCAGCCAGTGCATCAGCTGCAACGCCAACGGATGAAAGAGGCCGCACACGACTTCGTCCGAGTCGCAGCCGAGGGTGAGCACGGCGCGGCACAGGATGACGTACCGACCGATGAAGGGATTCTCCGGATCAGAAACCCGAGAAGCTGAGAGGCCAAGGGTAAAGGTCACCATCCAGTGCAAAACCTCGCAGGCCGCGATCTTGGTGCGCCGGTCGCTGGAGTCGCACGCCAGCGCAATTATCCGCGGCAACGTCCGGTCGAAGTGGATGTCCAGTCGCGTGTTCGGCAGCGGCAGGACGTACCTGAGCAGATCCTTGCGATCCCAGGACGCGCCGGTGCTGCGGGAAGCGCGCTCGTGCACGAAGCTCGTCAGCAGATCGTGGTCGAGCGAGCCGAGGAAGAGCAGTACTCGCCGCTGGAAGTTTCGCAACGTACACTCGGTGTCGATCACGTCGACGCGCTTCACGCGCCTCCGCGCCGTCGTCAGGTCCTGCGAGACCTCGGCAGCGCTCTCCGTGCTGCGCAGGTACGGCTCCAGGTACGCGGCGATCTCGCGCAGCAGTTCGTTCGTCCGCTCGTCTCGCTTCCGTTTCCGCGCCGTCGTCGTCCACATCTCCAGGGCGGCGAGCGCGGTGTACGCGAGCTCCAGGTTGCTCAGACCGACGGTGAACGCGATCTTGAACGCCGGCAGTGTGCGCGGTAGCGCGTCCTTGACGTAAGCGAATGGCGCGTCCAGGATCAGGTAGAGGCACGCGATCAGTAGCTCGTTGGAGAACGCGGGGATCAGGTCGAGGGTGTGCCACAAGTAATTAGATAGAAGCTCCTCCATCCGCTGCGATTCTACGCTATTCTCCTCCCCCTCCCCCTCTCCCTCCTCCTCTGATGTATGAGCGAAGATTTTCATACCGGCCCGAATCAGCTTGTAGAAGCCGGATATCAGCGGATACCTGTACGACAATCGGACGACTTCGTAGAGAAATCTGTGCACGGTGTTGGCGAACAGCTGCGCGTCCGACGCGTCGATCACGTCGACGTAGAGGTCCACGAGATTCGCGAACACGCGAAAGTCCGCCTGATTCACGGCGCTCTGGGTGAGGGCCACGTCGGACAGCACGGTGTTCTCGTTCTTTCGTTTCACGTGTATGTTCAGCCGATTGATCAACGTGATGCACACGCTCGTCATGGTGTCGGCTACGCGCCGCGTCAGCTGCTCGTGTCCGCCGATACCTCTCGCGCGATACCTCTCGGCGTTCAGCAGCTCCGTCCACAGCGGCAGGTAGTTCTTGTAGCATACTGGCGACTGTCGCAGGTCGTTCAGCTCCCGTTGCAACTCCGCGTCGAGCGCCAACGTGTGCGAGCAACTCCACGCGATGCCGTCGTAAACTGATCGCAAAAATGAGATTTAATACGTTACGAGATCCATGAAAGAAAATCGAAATTTCATTATCATTATTATAATTCCAAGAAAAAAATATTACGTCGAATACAATTCTATAAATTAACTATAAAGATGCTCATGAAAGAAAAATCAATCGATTTAGTTAAACTCTTTAGTTTACTTACCTATACTATCGAGGTATCGCTGCAGCAGACCTTTATTAACGGCCGCAAGATTGCCGATAGTTTTAGTCAATGTTGAAACGGCGAGCGCGTTGCTAGATATTGCTAAATCGGGGAATCTCTTGATCGTGTAATTACTAAGCTTCACGAGGACGTTGATTTTTTCAATTGTAACGTCAGTCATGTGACACAGTATTTCCGAGAGCGCTTCCTGATAACAACAGACGCTCTCTATGTGCATCGAATCGCTGTGTTCGCTTGAAAAAGAACACACGAAGAAATTATGTATGTTTGACTATGCCGTGTTATTGATGTAAAAAAAACTTAATATATATTGTAATTTTTATATTAAATTATTTAAAATTTTACTTATATCTTACCTGGAACAAAGAGGTAGCGCGTAACTGGTTATAATGGAATACATGTTTCTTACATCGAGTTCGGCCATATGCACTTTACACGGCGCAGCCATTTGACTGAAGCCATAAAGGTTTAATCGCAATGTGGTTAAATCTAAGTTAGATTTCTCAAATTCTTTGTGGAAATATTCCAAAAACTCCTGAAACCGAAAGTACGTTATAAATTATAAAGCCGAAGTTAATTGAATTATTATAATAAATTAAATGGAATATAATTTTATTATCTTTAGGGTTCTTTAAGATTTAGTTTACAGAGAAATTCTTTTCTAGTCACGAATAAAAAAATTAAAATGTCCTCTATATTTCGTTTATCTTGTACCTTCGTGTCTCTTACCAGCAATATTTTGTTCTCATCGTTATTTTGATTAGTGAGAATCTGTCCGATAACTCGGTAAAATCTTTTCAACGCATGCTGCCCGGAAATGCCGCACTCGGTTCGTTCGAGCGATAAGAGCTGGAGAATTTTGTGCCAATGCATGCAATCAGGATACAGCTTGTCTCGAAACAGATTCATATGACGGCACAGAAGATCGATCGCCGATTTTACTACTGCTGTTTTGACTTTTTGCTGTCTCGGCTGATTTTTGCTGAGATACGCTTTGCTAATGTCCTTAATCCACTTGTACAGATTGCAGAAATAAGTCTTCTGTATTGCGTTCGGCGATTTCGCACCGTCCAATATGTCCGCGAGGGCATTGAAATACATATCAAAGTCGGACACTTTGTTGGAATTATACTGCACAGATAAAATTATTATATTTATTATATATCGTTATTTATTATATATCGTGTAAATTGTTAGTATTTAAATTAATAGCTTCACAGTCAAGATTTTTAGATCATTACTGATTTTGTCTCCTCCATGATTGATTTTATCTCCTCAGATGCATCAGAATTTAGTCGTTGGAAAATAATATTCAACTCGTTCTGCAGCGAGAGGACACTTTCATTGTCCTTAATTATTTTACCAAGTACACAGTACATAAACTTTCTTTCTGCAATAAAGAATGGTATTACATTCTGTATATAATATTCAAATCAAACAGTATGTTCTTACCTTTAACATCATTTCGATTAAATCCAATTATTTCAGCAAACTTCTTGACTGTATCAACAAGCTTTAAGTCGTGATCCTTGAATAATTCTATCAGTTTTACAAAAACCTTAAAAGCGGCTTGTGTAATAAAATAATTACATTTTACAGTCAATGCAACTTGACATACTGTCTACAACATGTAACACAAAAATGTTATTACAATTAAATTACAATACAGAAAAATGACATTTCAAATTTCTTTTGTCTTGTTTATAGCAAAGTATTATTTATACAAACAGATGTGACATTATACTAAGCTCTTTCTAATCATTAGATATCACTGATCATTCTTTTGAACCATCATCAACATCTGTTTAACAAATAAAATCAAATATAATGATCTTACCTTGATTTCATGAACATATTGTATAAAGCATGGAGTGGTATAAAAATTTGTAATGAAAAATTCAAGAAAAGTAAATGCCTTTTTTAAAGCATCATCAATGTGTTTGTTTTTGGTTCCAGACAGCAAGTTTGGAAGTGCATTGAGGAAAAGTAATAAGCCATCATTTCTGTCAAATATACTGCATACAATTGGTTCTAAAAGAATCATATAAACATACAGAAAAATTATCAAACAAGACATCATATAAACATACAGTCCATTAAAATAGATAAATATATACACATGACACATAATTTAATTATATCCATAATTTTTTTAGATATATAGAACACAATTAGAATTAAACAAAATCAGGAGGAAATGAGCCATGTTTTAACGTGTTTTAACAAACATAATTTAAAATTTAGAATTATAGGAATTTCCAAAGGCTTGAAAATTTTAATAAATTAATCACTTATTTTTTTTTTCAAAAACGTTGAGTGTAAACTTGTAAAAAATAATCTTGTTCGAATATAACACAGTGAGAACGAGAGACGTTTTGTTTTTCATGAAAACGATAAAATATTCTCATAAAATATCATATGGGGTAGAAGTATCAGTTTTGGCCACCATAAACACTTCTGTATTTATGAGGAAAAATAGTCAAGTGTTTAAGGTTAGGTAGCTATACCGGTGATGGTCAAAACCGGTACTTCTATCCTATATCATCGTTTTTATGTATAATTTATATTTACCACGATGTTCGAGCGAAACAATCGCGAACAAACTATTTCCCTCTCCAAAGATATTCACCAAGGCGCTATAATTTTGACTTCTGATAGCCTGTTTGAATTTCTCCACGAAGATCCGATATTGATCCATGTCTCATTTCTTCTTCTTCTTCCTTTTTTTTAGATGTATCCTGGCCCTTGACACTGAACTGACTGAACTACATTCTTCATCTCGCTTGAAGTATCAGTTAGCCGGGATTCCCGGTATCACAGGCGTGGAATGCCTATGGAATGCATACCTATACAATTGTTATCACTAGCTGACCAGCATGATGTGATACCAGATAGAATATCGCCGAATGAGGCAGACTAGGCTAGAGACCTCTCTCGGAGAATTGTTACAATTTGTAGTTCTTGATCGGAATTTTTAGTATTTTTACAATTTTACGGATTCTACTTGTTTCCATCGATAATAGAAAATTCGTATTACGTATGTATATGTATATATAACAACTATATATATATATATATATATATATATATATATATACAAGAACTACAAATATGTATACATACATATATGTATGCTCTGCGAAAAAATTCTCATATCTCATAATATTTTCAAGAATTTTTTGTATTTTAAATTTGGAAAGATTAATTTAAAAAAATATAAACTTTCTTAAATTTTATAAGTTTTTTTCGAAAATTATAAAATGAGAAATTTTAAAATATTTAAAAAATCACATATATACAGAATATTTAAAAAATAGATATATTTTACATATCTACATATATAATTAATAGAAATAATTAAGATTATTCCTTTGCAATTGTTTCTTTTTCTTTAACATAAAATAAAATAAATCTTATCTTTTTTATTATAACAAACGTTTATTCGTAGTATTATATTAATATTAATATACATATATAGCTATTTAAGAATTAAATTATATTATTACATAAATAAACATGCAGAGAATACCGCAAATTTATACTCGATCGCCAAAAATTAAATCAAACGGGAGTTAATTTGATTATCCTCAAACTCCCGCAAATAAATATATCGATGTTATTAAAACGTGTTGATTAAAACGGCGAGTTTTTAAATGCGAACTTCCGTCTTATATTTTCTGCGAGGCTCCACTATTTTCAGTGTCAACATTTTATGAAGTACCGCTACATATGTATATGTTAACAAAACAAGTCGTATTGAACACGTGCAAGTAACGGCATCCTGTGCGCACGCGTGTCGTACGCGACGCAATCGAGTACATAGCGCGGGCACGGATGGATTCCCCAAGATCCCCTTCGATCGTGTCGAGAATTCCTTCGGATCCTTTTTGACGTTACTTTACAGCAACGTTCCTCGAGACGAATAAATCGATCGCGAGTAGAACAACTGAAAGAATAAATTTCACTGCAAAGCTTTTTTAAACGCCAATTGAAAAGTTTCTCCTTTCTCCTTGTATACTGCATATGCTCTGCGCTCGCCCGCGAATTTTCGAGATTTTGACGCCCGTAACATATAATATATGTCGCCGCGCTCCTCATTGGAACACGTAACTGTAAGCCGTTAATCATCAATTCGCGATGCGATAATGCGCCGCGCTTGATCACGCCGTAATCGGTAGATCAGTACGTACCGATGCCTGTCGGCGAGTGGACGTGTATAGTATTTTGTCCGAATGACTTATTCTCGACTTGCTTAAATAATGGTTTGTCTCCTGTGCGGCGCGTTCGTCCTCGGTTGCTGCGCGATACTGTTTACTCTAACGAGAAAGTATTTTGGCTCCCGTGAGGTGCCGAAGTTACCGGAAACCTGGTGGACGCCCGGCACCGAGGGCTCTGTCAATAATGATATTAGACCGTTCAAAGTTATTTTTTCCGAAGAGGTAATTCCACGATTAAAGAATGTGTTCTTTAATTGCAGCTTATTATGTTATCTAATTATAATATTCGCTATAATATCTTTATCTAACAATAATAATAAATTGCTATTGTTCCTGTAAGAAACATTATGGCTTCCAATACTATAATATTCACTGATACTTCCAATAAAACATTATTAGCCATCAGACTTTGGACAAATTCAGCTGTTAATTAATCCATTTAAAATGATAGATATATATATTAAAAAGATATGAGAAAGAGAGAGAGAGAGAGAGGGAGAGAAAGAGATAAGATTGCATAATGATGAGAGATAAAATTATCTTAAAAAAATGATTGCGACACGATTTCAACACGATTTAAAAATCAAATGAAGGCTTGAACCTTGAAAATCTGCTGAAGAACCGGTTTGCTGGAATGGTTCGAGCAAATTAAACGGATTAATTAAATTGAGAGACATATTCCGTCGTTTGCAGATGATAAAGGATTTGAAGTACCGATTAAATCATACTAGACCTCTGACACCGCCGTTGAAAGACGTTGCCTGGAATTACGGCACTAACACCGACGCCCTGCGCAAATTTCTAGATCATTGGGCGAACGAGTATAATTTCGAGGAACGCGAGAAGTACATAAATCAGTATCCGCATTTTAAAA